TTTAACAAGCCAAATTAGAGATGCATTGTCAGATTTAAGTTGAACCGCGGTGCAAGTGTGTGCCGAACCGTGGGTGGAGAACGGTACGATTCGATTTTTTACCGAGAACCGTTACACCCCTAAAATATATATAGTATTTTCTTTTTAATATTCTGTATTAAATATAAATTTTACATTTTTATAAATATTAATAAATATAGATAATACGGAACAGTACATATTTTATTTACAGCACATATACTGTATTAACTGTATTAAATATATAGTTTATCATTTTATTTATTTATAATGTAATTTCAATTATCATATATCATTTATATATTTTAAATGAAAGATATATGTTTATATATATATATATATATATATATGTGTGTGTGTGTGTGTGTGTGTGTATGTATTACTTAGTTTATTAAATATTTTTTATTCTATATTAATTATCAATAATATCATATTAAAATAAATCGTATAAATATTTAAAAATAAAAGTAATACTTTACAGCACGCTGAGCATTACATGCATTCGCATCTGCATCTTATGGCATTTCACCAGCAATGTGTGGCTGACTTTTTTATTCTTTTTCCACAGACCTGGCCTTTTGTGGTCTCAGCACGATCAGAGGACACCAAAGACATTTCAGCAGCGGTCAGACTATGTGGAGCTACAGCATAAACATCTGGCACCTCTCTGTCTTTTATCCCCCTCCATCTCACGTTCTCTCTCTCTCTCTCTACTGTCTGAACTCATACACTTCCTTTGAACTTACATCAATGGACATTATGCATTGAATGCAACTGCATGTGGGACATACAAGTAGTTAAACAGCAAAGTCATTGCACACAAATCTGTGTTTATAGCCAGATGTTTTTATGTTCATTCTAGCAAACAAAAACAGATATTGCTATATGTGTTTAAATATTTGAAATGCTGTCTGTATTTAGCTTAAAATCAACTCTTGTGAAAAAAAGAATAACTTGCATTGCCAGGGAAGCACACTGAAAATCACTTTTATTGTTTTAAGGCACTTGTCATTTTTCTAACCATCCAGCAGACATTTAAAAGTCATATTTTGACAGGATGTTTTCACCCTGTGGAATCTACTTTGTTTTTTTTTAGAGATTTTATTTTTTACTAAGCAGCAACATGACCTATGTAATTAAGGCTAGATGGAATAGAACACAAATATGCTTGATGTCTTGACATTTGTCCACGTTATACTCCAAAGTTTATTTATGATTGTGATATTTGTGGCTTGTTCTATCTTTTCTTTTTATGTGCTTACTTTTATCACTGAATCACTCATTCAATGAATGTCTATGCCACTTCAACGGCCTTGATGCATAATAATCTTTTTATGTACCAGCCCAGCTAACAAAAAATGTATTCTAAGAACATTTTGCAAACATTAAGTTATGAAAATGTTATTTTTGAATGTTCTCTGAATGTTTTTTCTTTGTTATGTGAATGTTAGAGAAAACATTATGGCAATGTTACTTTTGAATATTCTTTCAGTTATCTGAAACTAGTAAGTAGTAACATTTTTAAAAAGTTAAGCTGGTGATACACGGGGCAACTTTTTGAGCAATTTTGCCCGGCAACTTTTTTGAGCAATGTTGCTTGGGCATTTTCCCATTGAGGATGGGTAACAAATTTCTATCTGGATACTTTAGATCGGTCGTGGGCCCTGTGTCTCACCTGGTTGCCCATTGACAGCAACATTGCCCAAAGTTGCCCGGCAGCAATTAAAATTTCCCCCGTGTATCATCAGCCAGACAATACCGTCCATAAAGACCACATAACTTTGAATGAACCTTTGAAACTTCATAACTTTGAGAGAACCTTGCCAGAATGTTCAACGCTAAAGTTCTGAGAACGTTCCGTCTTAGCTTGGAAAAGAAGTCGTCATTTTTATCACTACAGATACATCACTTGATCAAGTGTATCTCATTTATCATGTTGAATATGTTTGTTCATCTGTATAGTTTCTACTGAACTACATTATATCACATTTATTAGGAGGAATACTATGATGAATGTACTTGTAGGTTAATTAAATTTCATAAAGTCCATATTGTGTTAACTTTCTAAATACATAAACTTAATATACTGCATTTTTCAAACTGTATGTGTAGAACCCAAATGGTGTGCCCATGTGCTCATTAGAATGTGTGCGGTTTGAAGAGGAAGCCGGCCTTTCATCACGTTTGTGGATGATTGCAGCTGTCGTGCCGTTAGTTTCCCAGAACACTGAACTGGTCCCTTGAGGGAGTCCCACAGGAGATGAAGCACTCTGTCAGGCAAGGACAGCTCAGAAACGGCTCTCACGTTCTCCACCGCTGCTGCAGGACGAGCGCTCTGGGGTTCACCGAGCTAACAATGAGGAAAGCATTATCTGACTGCTAAAACTCATGACTTCATAAACCAACGTGATTTGTCATCCTCTTCTTCCTGCTGCTTTTATACATCATTTTATCAGAACGCAACTGGAATGTAGAGTAGAATACCCAGTATTCAATACACAGACAATAGATAAAGTGTGCATATGCATTTCATGCATCATTCATTTCTAAAAACTGTTTAAAATTTAAGACTAATAGACAAGGAAAATCTTAATTAATAGTTCCATCTAGTGGTGACAGAGCTTTCTGGCCACATGATACAGTAGCTCTTAACCAGGGGCCAGTAGGGGCATCAGTAAATTATTTAAAATTTAAAAAGCTAAAAAAAAAAGTTAAAAAGCTATATGAAAATTATAAAAAATTCTGTCTATCTATCTATCTATCTATCTATCTAGTATATGTATAAATATATACATTCATTCATTCATTCAAGTTCAACATTACTTCTAAGTTTTGAAGTTTTGATATTAGCCTATAGTTCTAATTTGTTATGATTTGTTTTGGATATCGTACTCAAACAAAGGATTGAAAAAAATTATAATATTACAAATACGAAGAAAAAGATACAGTGCTGCAATTTGATTAGGATCATATTTGTTATTGTGATTCTAACGTCAGTTTTATTCAGATTCAGTAGTTTTATACATAGCCAGCAGAGATCGCTATTGATCCACAATACGCATCAGCCACAACAAACTTTTGACACTCTCTCTGTCAGCAAGTTTTTTGTATCTCATTTTAACCTTGATATTTTCCTAATTTACACTGAATAATGAAAGGTTATTTTAGTAAATGCTAAACTTAGCAAACTGTCTTTCTGTAGTCCTACTGGTGTGTGTTTGTATGGAGAGCGAAAGTGTCCAGTAGATTTAATTAATTTATTGAAATACTCTGTATGTTTAGCCTTCCTTTTCTCAGGTGGAACACATTTTTATTAATATGGAGCTATGTTTTCGGGTATTAACCTATAAGGAAATCCAATTTTCTGTGTACCAAAACATTTCAGAGACCAAATTTCAATGAACAGGAAGGAACTGTAGGTCCAAAGCCAAGCAGCGCAGTTCACTGAGGCTTTCTTTGTAGTTTAACCAAAAGCACTTACTGCAAACCCACGGCAAGCCAAGATTCAGAGAACAGTCTTTGAGGATATGAAAGACATTCTGAGCTTATTTGTTATCTAATATCTATTCATTCAGCAGCAAGGAGGAAGAAAATGTTAAACGGGGCCTAGTACTTTGATTATCAGTTTAGCATCTGCTTTATTTTGGTTTCATTCAAAACATGTAGGTCGTTTAATCTCGTGTCTTGTTAGCTTAATCTCAAGAATTTTTGAAAAAGGCTCCATAATTTGTACAACAAATATTGCTATCACTAAACTGACCAATGGCACGCATGATTACAGCATAGGCCAAAAAAAAATAAATCCATTCCACTTACAGTACACTTTATTACATGTTATCTATTTGTGTCTGTAGATTAACTGCAATACATATCTTTAAAGGGCCTTTTTCTCAAAATATTTTTTTCTCATGCACTGAGCCAAAAGGTTTACGGTTTTATTCCCATCTTCTGAAGGTTTTTACTGAGGGGTTTGTTTGTTTATATATTTGTTCATGCTGTGTGTTCATATATCAGTTGCCTAATTTATAACATTTTATTCATTAAAACATAGAGAGTTTTCTAGCTGTTTATAGTGTTTTCTGATATATGGAGTGATATAAAAGGATATCCAAAATCCCTTTTGTAAAAACCTTTGACGTCAATATGTAAACAAAATGAAACTTTAACCAAATGTTCAGATTTCTGTTCTGGAAATGTATGCAAATATGTGCAAATGTAATGCCTCATTTACATTTTTAATCATAACACAATACAAAACAATTGTCTTAAATGTACCGTAATTAATCACCCAGTGAAGTATGTGATAT